TGCTGGCCCTCTCCACCTCGGCCTTCTTGAGGCTCAGGGCTTCCACTGCCCCTCTGAGAGGGAGCTGCACACTCCGCCCGCCAGGCCTCTCTAAGCCCCGAGCCTGCGGCTGTGAGAGCATCCCCAGGACAGCACTGCGCCCGGGATGAAGCTCTGAAAACCCCACGAGAAGGCCGAGTGGGCCTCACGCCGCGCTGAGCCGGCCTGGAAAGGGGCATGTCCACGCTCTGCCAGGCCCGGGCGGGAGGCTGTCCTCTGTGTCCACCTCCGCGTGCTCAGAGGGCAGTGCTGCTAATCTCCCCGTGCCCGGGAGGAGGACAGGCGGCCGCAGGGAAGAGCCTGCCCCTGCCTGCGCACACGTGTGGGGAGACGCCGCGTCCCTCCGACGGGCGCACGCTTGCAGGGCTGCCGTGGCCGTGGGAGAAGTGCGTCCTGGCCCCTTTCTCCCTACAAAGAAAGCTGATGGATGAGTGTGACCTATGAGGCGGAGAGACAGAGAAAGGGGGAGCGGAGAGATGAGAAAGTGAGGGGTCAGCGATCACGGAGAAGCCGAGGCGGAGAAACGGAACAGAACACAAACGCTACCCCCTCCACCCTGCCGGCCACAGTAGCCACGGCGGTGCTGCAGCCTGCAGGGGCACGACAGGCGGGCAACGGAGGCCACTTCCGGCCTCCTCAGGCCAATGGCGGAGTCCCCAGAAAGGGAGCCAGCATAGCCTTCGCCAAGTCCCACCGCAGTCTCTGTCCTATCTCCTGCCCTCCGACAGCCCTCACGGTTATCTGGCACATAAGCCCTCGTGCCACCCGAGGCCTGCTGTGCACTCTGTGTAGGCCGGGCGCTGCACATCCCGGCCACGTGGGACTGGTCCCCCTTAGGTCGTCCAGGACAGCAGCCCTGACCCCACTGTCCGACCTGGGGCGGGGGGGGGTCAGAGGGTAAGGAGGGGACCCTTCTTACTGTGGCTACAACTAGACTCAGGGCATTTAATCTGACCCCTAAAGAAAGAGGTGGGGGGCCAGCAGGTGGCATGGTGGTTAAGGTGTTGGACTCCCACAGGGCCGACCATGGTTCGATTCTCAGACCTGGTGGCTTGAAAGTCACACTGGGAATGTGGGCAAGTGTGTTCAAATCCCTGAGAGGAGAAAGGACTGCGGTGTGGCCATCTCCTCAGGGGTGATCTCTCTCGGTCTTTCTCTAGCAAGCGCATGTGCCCTACGGCCAAATAAATAAATAAGGAAGGAAATGAGGAGAGCTGGAAAGCCGTGAGCGATTGGTGGACCAGGTGTCGACAGTCCAGGCCCTTCCTCGATGCTGAGTTCGAGTCCCGACGCTGCGGCAGCCTAGCATGCCCCTGTGGGAACTTGGGTGTGCCCCGCACTCGCTACAGGGAAGACATTTCTGCCTCTGTGAGCAGAGCAGGGTGACAGCATCTTGCTGTCAGCAGGTAGTACCAAAACGGAGAGGTCACTTGCAGACAGAGGTCGGCTGGGACACGCCCTCCATTGATACCGCCCCCTCCCTGTAGGGCTTAGGCCAGTCAGAGATACAAGCCTGGGAGGGGCCACAGGCTGTGAGACCACGGCTGCTCCTGAGAGCGCCCCGGCGCTGGGAGACGGCTGTCCTCTGGGCTGGGCCCGGCATAGGTCACCCCGGCCCAGCAGTACTGACAGCTCTTAGAGGAGGCCTGGCTGCTATGCTAAGAAGCTTGCTCAGGGAGGCTGGGTAATCACACTGTCCCCAGAGAGATGGTGGCCTCATGCGGGCTCGAGGCTTGGCTCACTGAGGAGGTCCTTGGTAAGCCGCTGTGCCCTCGGAGCCGTGACAGGCCGTACGTGCACACGCACTGCAGACACATCACTGTGTGCAGGGAGCAAGCCCCAGCAGCTCTCCGCCGGGGAAGCCACCACGGCAGGGACTCCCCTCTGAACAGGCAGGTCTTTAACTCTAACCATTTATCCAAGGGGTTCTAGCAAACTCGAAGTTGAAAGAATGAGTCAGGTCCTGCCGTCGGCTCACAGGAAACGGGCCTTTGCAGGGCACCCCCTTGTTTCACTGAGGGGCGGCTGACGAGAGCGCCGAGACGCCCTGGACCTGCAGCCCCACACACCTCGAAATGGGCCCTGTTGCAGTAAGACAGACTCTACACCTCCTGTGCCTCCAACCGTGAAGCGGCGAGGCCGAGGGCAGGTGTCCCGGTCTGCTCACAGGGTCTAAGTGCTGCAGGAGAGCAGGGCCCGCTGGCAATGGGCCAGCTCCCCAGGCCTCACTGCCCATCCTCCCTGAGCGTGGATTTCTGACTACTTGGGATGCTCCTCCTGGAGAGCGTCCACCTGCTGGTGCTAGCACTGGCCTCGCCCCAGGGGCGCCTTCCCTGCCCCCTCCAGTGCCGTGCTGCACCTCCGACACGCAGCCCCCACCCCGCGGAGCCGTGGCACAGCCCCCAGCACTGTAAAATAAAACAAAGTCACATGACACACACACCTCTTCTCCTCCTCCTCTCCAGCATCCCCTCTGGAGCGGCAGCAGAAACAGGTAAACAAAGGAACATGTCAAAGTCATGCGAGATGCGTGATGGGGGGGCGAGCAGAGGAGGGTTACTGCAGGCGGGGCAGGCGGACAGGCGGGCTGTTCGGAGCAGTCGCTCCCCTAAGTGTGAGGACAGGCTGGGGCACGGCCAGGCATCGCCTTCACATGTCTCCCACGGGGCAAGCCTCCCGTCTCTCGAGTCCCCGATGTCTCTCCCACTCTGCGCTCCCTCTGCCTCCGGCAAAGTGGCCACAGTGGATCACTGTGGGACACAGGGCAGGCCACCACCATGCCCATGAGGGTTGTAGGTGGTCCCTGGAAGGAGGATGTCCCTGAAGACCCCCTGAGGGTTGGCGGACGACGTCCATGCTGACAGCAGGTATCTGCTCCATCAGGGAGAAGGGCAGGGGCTTCCCCAGGATCAGAAAGGGAGGTTCACTTTATTCGCGAGGAGACCGGGGCTCTGGGAGGTTCAGAGATGTCACGCTCACATGGCTGGGGAGGCGGGAGGGGGCCCAGGCCTGGCCCACTCTCCCTGGGCACTGCCCTCCCCTATGCCGTCACGGGCTGCAGTGGGCAGCAGGCTTGAATGCTGCAGCCAGGAGAGAGCCGAGAACCTACCCCGGGGTACCAGTGCCACCCCACTGCCCAGGGACCCTCCACACGGCTTCCAGAGGGCCCTTAAGAGGCCGGATCACCCCCAGGGACATAGGGAGGCCCTTCAGGCTGCAGACCCGAGGAGTGAGTCGGGGGAGCCCCTGCGAGTCCACATCGGCTCCGAGGGCAGAGGTGGGTGTAGCCAGCCTGACCCCAGAGCCCATCCCAGCAGTTGGTCCCCAGGATTCTGATTTTATACAGCGAACAGCAAGATGCGTGGCGGGGCGGGGCCTGCTGGTCTCATTCCAGGGGGGGTCTGTGTCTGTAGGGGATCAGGCCCACTCATGCCAGAGCCTGGGACCAAAAGCGCTCATGCAAGCTGAGCACCCCCACCCAGAAGCTGCGTGCCCGGGTGCCTCGGGCAGCTCGTGGGGTGCCAGGGCCAGGGTGGAGAGAAACGTGTCGTACACATCAGCCTGGCGCTCTCCCCTCCTCTGCAGACGCTGGGCAGTGAAGCCACTGCCTGGTCCTCTCCTGAGGCCCCGTGGGACCACACTTTGCCCCTACCTGGTCGTGGGAGATCGCTTCCTCCGCTCACAGTGGACAGCGTCAAAAAAGGCTGCGTTCCAGAACCTCAGCGTGTGCCTACAAGACAGAGGCACGGTGACGGCCTGTCCTGAGAACGCCCACTCCGGGGTGAAGGGGGCTCCCACACGTGTCCAGGAAGTGGGGCTGAGGAGAGAGGCTACCCTCTACCCTGACGAAGGCGCTCCCTGGGCACCAGCGCCAGTCTCCCCCAGGGAAAGGCCCTGGGACGGAGCCCGGGGAGGGGACAGGGCGAGCTGGAGCACAGGGCCAGGCGAGGGCCCGCAGACCTCGCCCCGTAGGCCAGGCCTGTGGAGTGCAGACATCAGTCGCTTTCTGCTTCTCCATGTCCCACCGAGGTCCCCAAGAAGCCGCAGATGGCGGAGAGACCTGTTTTCTAGAACATGGCCCGGTGACACACAAAGGTGGCTGAGGCAGGCCGTGTGCATCACAGGGACACAAGAGTAACAGAAATCCCTCTTTAAGAAGATCAGGAGTGTTGGCCTCAGCGCGTGGTTAAGGAATATTCGACCTGCCTGAACCCCAGCCCCGGCAGTGGCTTGAAAAACATGCTGGGAACATGTGCATATGCACCCAGACCTCTGAGGGGTGGAGACACAGAAGAGGCAACTACGGCGTAACTGTGTCCCCTCTTTTTCTCTCTGGCAAACCCATACACCTCTGGGAATTTAAAAAAAAAAAAAATCACAAAGAAAAAGGATAAGGGCTAGCAAACTATGGGCCAAACCTGGCCTTCTGGTTGTTTCTGAGAATCAAGTTTTATTGGGACGTAGCCACGCACATTCGCCTGCAGTCTGGCTCTTCAGTATCACAGCTGTGTGGCTGTGGCAGGGAGCACAGGGCCCGCTCGGTCCAAGACAGCTCCACGTGGCCCCCGACCGTGGACAAGCGTGCTGAGCCCTGCTCCGGCTGATCAGACAGCGGCCATCAGGGCCAGGGTTGGAGATGAACCCTGCACAAGTGGGACCCCCTGGTCGGCTTTGCCCTCTCTGTGCAGGGAACCCGCCTCCTCATGGAGTGAAGTTCCCAGCCCCGGCCATCTGGAATCCTGCGTATTCCCTGGCCACCCTCCTCCCATAGCCCCTGTGTGACAGACCAGGGGGACTGAGGCTAGACCCTGACCTTCGAAGGAGGGGTGCTGTGCCGTCTTCAGGCCTGGGGCTAGCACACCCCGCCCCTATGAGTCAGCAACTGCGGCTGAGGCTGGGCAGGACTGCTCCTGGCCACTGGCCTCTTGCTTCAACCGTCAGCTTCACTTTACACCTCACACTCACACACAAAGGGACTTTAGAAGATTATGGACAAATGAAATTAAAGTACAAATTCAGTTCAGTACGAAAATAGGAAATCCATGCAGCTTACTCACGACGTGCATTTCCTGTGAATCTGTGAAGCCCACAGCGCATACGTGTATAAAATGCGCACACACTGGTGTACATACACAGTGACTTTCCTGGGCTAGAGCTCACGTACCGTGAGTTCCCGCTGACGTCTACAATCACTACCTCCCGGAACGCGCGGGGTGACGCAAACCCCGCCGTCCAGTGCCAGAAACCCTAGCCGAGGGGCCAGTGCGTGGCATGGAGGTGAAACGGCTGGGTCCCACACGGCTGGCTGTCCGGTGTGAGTTCTGGACCTAGTGACATGAACATCACCCTGGGCACGTGTGCATAGGTGCCCACGGTCCTGAGAGGAGAATGGAGGAGAAGGGACGTGGCCTGGCCATGTCCTCAGGAGCGATTTCTCACCTTCCCCATCTCTAGTGAGCGTGCGCGCCCTGTGCGGGGTCCTGCCAGGACATCCCCTGTAGATGGAGTCGCTCAGCACGTGGCCGCTGCGTCTGGCTTTGGCACGTATTCTCTCCACAGCTGAGCAAGAGCCACACTGTGGACAGGCCGTCACTGGCTACCCACACCAGGGCAGGGCCATCCCCCTGCGGACGTAGGCTTTCCTTTCTCCGGGTATACGCAGGGTCTCCCAATTCGTGGGAAACGGAAACGGCATATTATGAAAAACTATGCATGGATTTCAGTTTTTCCCAGTAAAATAAACTTGTACTTTAATTCTACTTCCATAGATTTGGTGAGGTCTCCTGATGGGTCTAGGGGCGGAAAGGCTGGGACGATGGCTCTGCATCTGACCCTTTGAGAGACTGCCCGACTGCTCTCTGCAGTAGCACCCCACCCTCCTTTCCACTGGTGCTCGGAGCGCTCCGATTTTCCCACACCCCGCCTGCATGTGAGCATTCAGCTTTTTGATTCTTTTTTTTTTTTTTTTTTTGAGAGATTTTCACTGTAGGGCACGTGCGCTCGCCAGACAGAGAGAGACATAGAGACAGAAAGCGAGAAATCACCCCCCAGGGGGGATGGTCACGCCACAATCCCTTCTCCTCCATTCTCCTCTCGGGATCTTGGGCATGCACACACACGCGCCCGGCGTGAGTTTTAAGCCACCGGGTCCGGGACACGAACCGCGGTCGACTACGTGGGAGTCCAGCGACATAGCCATTACGCTAACTGCTGGTTCCCCAGCTTTTTGATTCTTGGCCTCCTAGTGGGCCCTGGGGAAGCTGCTGCCTGCCCTCCCCTCAGGTAAGACGGCGAGAGGGGAGCGCCTGGTCTTACCAGATGGGCTGCTGCTTCAGGTGCGTGTACAGGTAGATCTTCTCCCCCTTCCTTTCCTCCTCTGGGCTGCACACGGTCACTGCGGGAGGAGGACAAAGGCTGAGGGCCAATCTGGTATGCCCCCCATGTCGGCAAACCAACAGTGGCCGCCCAGCAGCCACTGCTCCTCCCGCAGGTCATGACAGCTCTTCTGTCGGCCAAGTTAGGCGTGGCGGCACCCACACAGGCGGCAGGACTTCCTCTAGGGCTGGTGGCTCTTTCCTAGCTCCCCTGGATCGCACCATTCTGGTCCTGCACACCCTCCTCAGAGAGTGGCTCCTACAGGAACTCGGTAAGGGTGTACTGACACCAGAGCGAGACAGCCCCTCGGACTCCCCCAGGCGGCCGTCAGCGTCCAGTAGACGCCTGGGTCGCTGTTGGTGCTGCTGGTTAGTGGGGGCTGGTGAAGGGCTCTGCTGGGGCCCAAGGACTGCCGTGGCCCCAGAATGCCTGCCACACAGCAAGGCTCGCACCTGCCAGACCACAGAGCGGCCACTCACCCGTCTTCTGCACCTTCTCCTTGGGTCTGTTCTCGTCGTCCCTTGAGGAAAAAACCACGGTCAGGACAAATGTGATCCATACCCAGTTCCACAACCAGAGACCAGTTTACACTTCAGAGACGGGACTGGGTCCATGTGGTGTGGCTGTCCCTGGAAGGAACTTTGTGGAACCGACTCTGCGTGCCAGCTGCGAGCCTTCTGGAATGGAGGACTGTGGCTCCAGGCTCCTCTGTGCCACACCCCGGAGTGCCACACTCCAGGCTCCTCTGTGCCACACCCCGGAGTGCCACACTCCAGACTCCTCTGTGCCACACCCCGGAGTGCCACACTCCAGGCTCCTCTTTGCCACACTGGGAGCAGAGGAGGGGCCCCGGGGCGCTGCGACCACGTGTCTGTGGTGGCCTGGCCCAGCGGGCAGAGGGCTCCCCTCGCAGCAGCCTCTGGCCCCGATGCTGCCCTCTGTCAGAGCCGCTCTCCTGGGTTGGTGGCTGTCTCCCATGTCTCACTGTGCCACCAACACCCCTCTCCACTGCAGGGAGGAGGGAGAGGTGGGGGAGGGCTGGTGGCTTCCTTCCTGCCAACTGTCAATGCCCATATGCTCCTCACCAGGCCAAGAAGATGGGCCCGGGACATCCCTGCCAGCCTGCGAGTCTGCGAGGGAGCAGGAACTGGGAAGTCGTAGGAAACGAGGGAGAGGCGGGGGGCTTCTCAGAGCACGCCGTGGCCCGCAGATCCCTGCTCCGCCCCCAGTGCTTTCCCTGCCCTCCCCCAAGTCAGAGACCCCACGGGCAGCACTCACTCGCTTCTCCTGACCAGAGGGCCCTTCAGCTTGGTCTCCAGCCCGCCGAGGAAGCCCTTGACATTCTCCGACCTGGCCGACGTGGTCTTCAGCAGCCGCTCC